TGGCTTGCCAGGCCTCTGCAAGCCCCCCCCGGGGACATCCCTGTCCCCCCTGCTTAGCCATGGTCCCCCCTGCTTAGCCTCAGACTTCATAACCACGCCTGGCCCAGCTAAGCGGGACCTGGTGCGAGACAGCCCGGGGGAGGGCACTGCACAGGTAAAACCAGCGGGTTTCACGCTCCGTGGCACCTCTGCCCGGCTGTCGGGGTGAGGTTTGAGCCCTGGCAGGCATTAGCAGCTTCAGCGGGTGAGGGCAACGAAGATAGGAACTTCACGTGGCAGCCCGACTGGATCGGACCCAAAAGCTTCTGGAGGAGAAACTCATAAACCTCTCGAAAGCCCCAGCCACACAGGTTTAAGGTCTCTGCCCATGAGCAGCTCTGCCCAAACCCAGGCCTTTAACCCTGGTGCGCCCCACAGCATCTCTGGGGCAACCCGAGGGCCTCCAGGAGCGGGGGGAAGACAACGGTGCTGCCTACCAGGTGGAGGAACCCACCACCACCTCCCAGTAGTGGCAGCCGCTGTCAATGAAGACGTTTCCCGCTGCGCCATAGCATCCCGTCCCGCTGAACCTCTCGGGCGTGTGGCTCTTCTTCAAGGAGCTCTCGTCCTTCTCCATCTGCAGCCCGTCATTGGAGATCTTCAACTTCTTGTGAGCCATCTTGGGGTCCAGCTTAAATGGCTGGCCTGTTAGGAGACACACGGGTTAGGATTTATATTGGTTGCCACCATCGTCCAGGCAGGACAGGGCAGGAGACATCTGCCCCAGGCTCTTTGGACATCCTCCGTGCGCCAACAGTTCCCCCCCAGCCAAGGACACTGGATTACAGATGCCCAGCAAGACGCCGAGGCACATCCATGTGCCTTGTGCATCCGCTCTCACGGGCTGATCCATCGGTCCCTGGGCTGCTCCCGTGCCCCTGGTGCCTGCAGCGGCTTCCCTGGGAGGAGACGCGGGTCGCTGCTGCCCGCGCCTGCAGGCAAACCAGCACCCCAGGCCCCGCCAGCGAGACCGAGGGGAGCAGGGACGAGAGCAGCGCCTGCACCCTGGGCTTATTCCCCAGCCCGGGAATCGCTCACCTTCCCGCACCAAACAGAGGGGAAGGAGGTGAGAATCCAAAATGCAGAGTTAAATGAGCTGGAGGGTGAGCGCTCTGCCCCCAGGGAGGGTCCGGACTTGATTGCAGCCAGGCTGGGTGGTGTAGTGTGGCATGGCATGGCACGGCACGGCATGGCACGGTACGGCACAGCATGGCACAGCATGGCACGGCATGGCAT